CTTCTGATTGGTGAGCATGACTGGCACGCGAGAAGCACGGCGCTTGTGATTGGTGAGAATGACTGTCACACAGGGAGCACGGCATGAATTTGTAAAATTATTCTCACAGAAGTTTTAAACCGTGGGTCCGACGTGCTGTATAATGTATATCCTAAATCGCGACTTGCTAATCGTGTTGTTTCAAATCGCGATTTCGATTTGAAATCGATAAATCGTGCAGCCCTACTCTCTCCCTTTACGGTGGCCATGATACTGGGTGCTTAGACAAACGTACTGTATGTCTAACTGGAAGACCTAACAGGAAGCTCACACACAGTTTACAGTCAAAGCATGACTGGATTCCATTTTCCCACATGGAAGTGGGTTGCCTGTCTCAGAGCTGCAGAACTGCTCTTTACGCAGTGTGTGTTCTCGACGGCTCATGGTGGGAACAGGTAGGCAGTGTGCTGGTGAAAACACAGCCCGGAAAGGGCCCTGCGGAGCCACTTCGGCTCCACATCCAACATCCGTCACCAGGGAAGAGTCCCTCTAATTAAAAGTGTCAACACAGCAACTAAATGCTGACACAGTGTTTCCTGCTGAATGTGAGTATGAATGCATGTGCGTGTCCAGAGCAGCACAAGGCACGTGTGTGGGATTTTGGATGCACTAAGCTGACAGGGTTCTAGGAAACCAGAACATACTGGGGGAACAAAAGTCAGTAATTTCACAGTCACACAATTCTGCATCGGCTCGCTTTATAGTGCTTGACACATCAGATTACTTCCTCTAACCCACAACACGTCATGGTTACACAACAACAGAACAGCAACATTTGATACAAAAATGAATAACATGAAGACTTCAAGTCCAGGAACCCTCCTTTACAGTGGAGCAGGTGGTACAGTCCAAATGACACAGGCACATGACAAATTGTGGTCTCTCCAGCCAGCATCCCTGCCTCTGAGCCCACAAAGCTCCCCAGACTCCCCTCCCCTGCCACTCAGTACTGCCCCATGTGTCTGCTCTCTCTGCCCACCCAGCTCTGACACTCTGCATAACTCTCTGTGATGGGAACTTGGTACCAGCAACTGCCAGCTACACAATGGTGTTAGAGCAAGAAAGGTTTACTATAAACCATGCCGTATACAGACCACTGGGGGGCAGCATTACAGAACACAGACACATGAGTGGGGCCTCATTAGTGGATACAGAGAGCGTAGTTACACCAACTCCATATCCCACCTTCAATCTTTCATTTCATTCAGACCATCACTATCCCCTATGTCATCTCTTTTCATTCATTTCATTTCATTCATCACCTGGTCTCAGGGTGAAGGCGGTGGGGCGAGGCCCAGGTACATGATACCCCATTAATGCTCAGCGAAGCATCTGTGGTGATGAATAAGCAATGATGCTCTGTGTGAGTGTGGCTGCCTTTTGTGAAGAGGGAACAAGAAAAAAACAAGCAGAGCCGCACTTTGGCCATAGGAAGGGAACAAAGCAAAGAGGACCAACAAACAGCGGATCACAGTGCTGACCTACAGATGGCCTGGATACACATGCTGTCAGTGAGACTCCACAAGAGAGAGATACAGAGAGCATTTCATGGACCACAAGAGATTAACAGGAAGAAAGGCAATGTAACATTAATCAAACATCATCTCCACTTGAGACGTGACAGGTTCCCAGGTGAGAAGGCTGCACTTAGTAAATAATGAAGGAGACTCACCCTGGAGCTAAACGCATTCTTCTGTTTCCTCCATTAGCTTGAGACTGTGTACCACACTGGGTTTGGGGGGGAATGTATGACTCTGTCATAATTTCAGGGCTCCTTTCCTGTCCAGCACTCAGACCCTATCACTCTGCATAATGACCACAGATGTGTGAGTTTCGGTCCCACATGAAAGCTGGCAGAAGCCACAGCAGAGGAGCACGGCCTGTCCATTCCAGGACCAGTTAACTTCTTTCAGCACCTGTGTTTGAGTCCTAGTCTATGTGTCTAGAACATGTGGAAGTAAACAAGCTCCTAAACAGTACTCTGCATCTGTGGATACAGGCTCCCCAACCCCTTTATCAGCCATTCTGAATGGCTACTCACTCTGCACACATAGAACAGCAGAATAACCAGATAGGGTACGTTAGGATTTCATGGGCTTCACTTGAGTGAGCTGCAGATTTTGAGCTAGGGATGTCCGATCATCGCATCGTGAAGGAGCAGGGAGGGTCTGCAGCGTCTCACTCCATGACTCAGTGGATTTATTATAGTAATCACTGGAAAAACAAAAGCCACATCTGGCTTATGCAGGTGGGAGTGATTTACTGATCGGGCCACTTTGCTGAAAAGCCCAAATGATGTTCTACTAAAGCAGTG